TGCTTGGTCGAGGCTCGACCTGAATCGTGTCCTACGCCTGGGCACTCCTTACGCAGCCCGTTTTTGGCGCTGGCTGCGTTGCGGGAGGCGCGGGCTCACGGAAAGCAGCGTCCCCGGCGCTGGCCGCGAGCTGCCCCGTTCGCGCTATCCCGGGGCGCTGCGCGGCTCCTTCCCACCCCCGAGTGCGCCCTGATTCGTGCTTCCCAAAGCGCTGGAAACCGAAGGTGTGCGGGGAACATTCCTTCCAGAGAAGACACCTGCACGGATTGGCATCGCAGTACCATAAAGCAGTAGGGATGCCGATTTTTCCCTCCTGCAGTCGCTCTACCCTGCTCATTTCACTGCTGCTGACAGTGTAATACCGTACATATCCTCTGGGCTTATCATTTATGGGCCATAATCCAATAGATGACTCAGTTTTCCCTTCTCTCTCTCTTTGCAGAGTCTCTCTTTTAGCCTCCCCAAATTACACGGAGGAGCATAGGACACCAGCAAGTTCTCATCGGCTGAGGTCTTTCTGCAGCTGCGAGGCTGTGATCGACCCCTCCTCAAAGCGAGGTCTGGCCTGACTGGATAGCAATGTTCCTCGGATTAACACTGCAGCAGAAATCTGTTCTCCTGGCTGCCCACGTGTTTGGGGGCAATGTAAACATAATGGCAGAGGGGACTCAAGTAGGCAGGTTGACACTGCGGGTATGGCAGTAGCAAAAACAGATGTATTTTGTAAATAAAGATGTCATGGAAATCAGACACCCGAGTTTTTTAAGCTCATTGGTTCAGCTGTTCTGGCTCAGGGTCTTCTCTAGCATCAGTGCACAGGGGATTTGTGCAGATCCTCTATACATGTACAGTAATATAAGCACATGTATGGAATTCCCTTTGTGTAAAACAGCCCCCTTAGCTGATACACTTAACAGATATCATGTTAATCCACAGGCACTGGTTAAATCAGGATGGGAGTTTTACTCAGCCTTAGCATAAGTTAAATCAAACGGAGTGGAGAGGGCAGCAGATTTGTTTCCATTTAGCCAAGGAGGGTCTGTGGTGTAGAAGAAATTGAACTACAAGGGTCTGGTTTGAGCAAATAAAGCTTCTGACTTGTCCTTCTTCCAGGAGAGCGAATTCACATCTTCTGGGGTGAGCAAGTCTCAGCTCAGTGAGTTTATCTCAACTGGGCAATAATAAAACAAGAAAAGGTGCAGAGGAGGGTGATAAAGACAGCAAAGTGCTGGAAGAGGTGCCGCGTGGGAAGAGACTATGGAAGTAGAGAGACACCCGGGCTGGAAGAGCAAAGCCTGGGCAAGTGGAGGCAGAGAGGCCTCGAGGACGTGTCTGCCATCGTGGTATGGACACGCACAGAGCTGAGCAGCATGGAGAGGAGTTACCGGCACCCCCAGCCAAAGCGGACAGAAGGAAGTGCTTTTTCACACAACACATAATCACATTGTGGAACTTACTGCCACAGGATGTCACAGAGGCCAAAAGTATAAATGAATTCGAAAAAAGGATTAGACAAATTCACGCAAGCTCCAGCTCAGGAAATCTCTCCGCTGCTGATTAGCGGAAGCTGGAGGGGATGCCGGAGGAAGGCTCACTTCATACTCTCCCTCTTCCGACATCCCCTCCGAAGCATCCGCAGCTGGCCACGGCCAGCCGTGCTCCTGTCCTCGGCCAACAGCCATCCTGAGCCTCCTGAGTGGTGCCCTATCCCCCCGGCAGTTCCCCAGGGATGCTCCTTGCCTGGCTTCCTGGACTGCACACCTGTGTCCTGATCCAAGGCACTCTTGTTCCCTTCGGCCCGATGTGGTGCCAGCAAAGCCAGGGGTGGCCACCCTTTGCTGATCCCCACGGGTGTAATTGGGGTCAGGTTGAGCCTGAAGCCTTCAGAGAGAGGCTTCCGCCTTTCCTGCCCCTGGGATTAAGCGCTGAAATCTCCATGGTAAAACCCTCTTTGAACTGGGAGGGCAGATAATTCATCAACTGATTAAAAAAATCCAGTGCTAGGGAAAGTTAAATATTAAAGAACCAAGGCCCAGTTTTAACTGCTGCTGCTGTCCCTCCTTCATCTCCTGCCAACTGCCTCCAGGATACATATGCTGACACAGAATTTCTGCCTCACAAAAGCGGCTTTAAACTCCGGCTATTAATGCCGGGATAGGAAGCAGAAAAATAGAACAAAGGCAGCGCGGGCCAGGCCGGCTGCTGGCCCCGGCGCAGCCTGCGCCGAGCAGCCCCGGTGGAGGGTCCCGGCCCAGATGCAGGTCCCCCCGCCGGGCTCCCCCTCCGCTCCTTCCTTTGACCTCCAGGCACTGGAGGGTCCGAAACATTTTGCCGCCTGCTTAGCCCAGGTTTTAACTAAACTATAATTTTCACTAGCAGCGGAGAGGGATTTCAGAGAAACATCTGGTGTCATTTCATCGGGATAACGGCTCCGTCTCTATTTATACCCGCGCCGGGATCACTGTAGCTCTCAGCTGTTGCTCCCGCTCCGTTCCTCTCCAGTCCCACCGTGTTGGGGTGGGCAGAGGGTCGAGGCCGGGCTGCTGCCCATGAAACGGGAACCCCTCCTAAAAATGTGGACTTGTGGGGACTTGTTCGGCCAACACTTGGCGCGCTCTGCCTGCCAGGCAGCTCACACCGTGCCGGAGGTTGTTCCTACCCTTCGTGCTGATGGCGAGAAAACGGGGAAAACCCGTCTGACTGGGAAAATAATCGCCATTTGCTCAGCAGAAACCGTCCCTCAGACTGGCCTGGGATCAGGCCGGCAGTGAGCAGCAGCAGGAAATCGTGGAGTGAATCTCACTGGAGAATTCAGGCCATCAGGAGAGCCTGGCTGGCCCCTTCTCCCTGCAAGGTGCCAACAAACACGTCTGCGACCTGCCAAAGACACGTGAGCATTGAAGATGCTGCTCGTGAACAAGGCTCGCTTTAATTCATCTCCACGGAAGAAGTGCGGTCAGCCCTCTCCATTCGGCACTTGCAAGGCATCATGTCCCATTCGGAGTGTGTGAAACCTCCCTGGCCAAGCGGCCGAGTCCCTGGAAAACCAGCGGAACGCTCGTTCCGCCGTGCCAGTCACCCCGGAAAGAACCCATCGCCTCCTGGCTGACGGCGACGCGTGGGCAGCAAATCTTCACCCCTTCTCAAACGCTGCCCTTTAGGGACAAACTCTGTTTGGGCTTCTACGAGGAAGGAAATATGAGTCAGGCTTGGGAGAACTTGCTCCAAATATATCCGTGGTGATTCGGCGAACGCTGCGTGGGGCGGAGGGGGGACGCTGAGTCTTTGTGAGCTCTCCACTTGCAGCGCTTGGGTCTGTATGTGTCAGGGCACCCACGAGGATCGTTCAGGGCTCTGTTGTTTGGGAAACATCTTTTTTTTTTTTTCTTTTTTTGGATACATTTAATTAACCAGTATGTTGGGTACCTTTATATGAGGCGTCAAAACTTTACTGAGCTGGCTGCATTTCTGTTTCCTTGCTGGGAAATGTTCTCTCTCTCTCCCTGAACAAAACTACCCCAAGGAGACTAATGGAGTATCCTAAGATAACATTACGTCAGGGTAGGAGCTGCCAGCAGGATGTTCTTAGAGTGAAATCTGTCCTCATTCCACCCCCTTTTATCACAAACAAGTTTGGAGGCGTGCTCAACACAGACCTTTTCCCTCTCCCACGGTGTGTGGGGAGGAGGGAAATGGAGAGAATCTGAAGAATCTGAATCTGAAGTTTCTCCAGAATATGAAGTTCTTATTTTGGGTGTCTAGTTTTCCAGCGCTGGGTGGTGAGGGTCAGGCACAAAGCTTTAGAGACGGGCTCAAGAGCGGCTGGACTGACCTTGCCCAGGTCATGGGCATGGGCCCTCCAAGACCTCCGCAGGGTCCTTGTTAGTGAGGACCGAGGTTCCCTTCTCTCTGCTGGAAGGATTCGGACCTTCTGCTGGGACAACTTAGCCCCTCATCCTGCAAGTCAAAAATATCCAGATGCAAAAGCAAACAAAAAACAGCAGCAACAAGAAAACAACAGCTTGTCAAAAGCAGTTAACTGGCTTTAAAGCCCAAAGGACTCACTTCATTCAGTGGTTGCTGCCTGTCTGGAGGAATGCTGCTGCCTTTCCCTTACCACAAACTAAGCAGCCTCCAGCTGCCTTCGGAAGAGATCTGCAGAGCTCTGGGATTGACTCTGACAAGCCAAGGCAAGACGGCGACAAACCCGGCAGTTTCCTCTTCAGATATTGGATCATCCTCAAGGAGCATGGGAATGGCATTTCCAAATGTAGTCTTTTAACTGGTCTTTTTTTGGCGATAGAGCTGGTTCCCAGGATAGGTGGCAGCTGACAAAGCCGACGCTGTGACGACGGTGGGAGTCATGTGCCAAGGAGGCTCTCGGACGGACGTGGGGCAACAAAAGGGCCCGTTTACCAGCTTGTGCTCAGCCAAAAAAAAATGTTTTTTTTTTTCCTTTGGGCAAGGAGAGTGAGGTCAACAGGGAAGTAATGGTTTATTTAGCTCTATTTTTCCTGTCAGACTCCAGGTTAGATGGCTTGAACTTTGAGAAACGAATAATCACTAGATTTATCTACAGCTGAAGGAACACAAGCTTCTTACTCCCAGGCTGCCTATATTACTAATTTATCTGGATTCTCTCTGCTGTATTTTTGTTCTGTGTTGCCCAAACACGTGGCTTCTCTTCCTTTGCTATTCTGAGCAGAGACAGAGGCTAATAAATAGCAAGTTATGCTCTGTTGCGCGGTTACCTAGAGAGATGGTTGTCTGCAAGCAAAGGGTAGACAAAGACACAAATAGGCTCATTTGATGCAGACTGGAGATGTACTTCATTAAAAATACTGCCGTGAGGTCCCCAGCTCTGCCCGTCATTGTGTAGCACTGGAGCAGGCTACAGCAGCAGCATCTCTCCAAGCAGAACTGATCAAGAACACTGTGAGGTGATGGCATATGTAAGGAAAAAAATTTAAAAAGAGGAGCAAAATGTGTGTGTCTCTCCTCCTGTCCCAGTATTCCAACCCTAGGTGTATAAATAAATAAAGGCAAATACTGTTTAGAGCACAAGAGAGCAGCTTAATAACATCTTGCACACCCCGGTGCCTGTCTGTCCTTCTCCCTACGCCGTCACCAGCCACGGCAGGGTGAGACACTGCCCTGCAGTGCGACACAGCCATGCTGTCGTGGACCCTAATGCCATTGAAAACACAGCGGGGTTCTGCTTGCAGCTGTACTTCACAGAAAACACAGGAATCCCAGAGTTGGGTGGGGGAGAAGAGGTCCCAGAGCAAGAGCTGCCTTGTGCTACCAAACGGCAGCGCAGGACTGGTCCCAGCAGCCCTCAGCCAGAGAACGTAACTAGGATTTTGAGTTACCAGGAGGAGATACAGGACCCTGGAGTGATACAGAAGAGGACTGCAAAAGGCATTTTGGAAGGAAATCCCTCGCTTACACTCGAGGGTATAACCCAATGTGCAGGACAGCCCCGGTGACTCAGTCATGCAGCGTTACATTCCCGAGCAGCACCCACTCCTGCGGAGAAGGTCCACGTGTTTTCAGTGACCGTGTGGGGTTCCAGTCCCTCTGCTTTGTGTCACCCGCTAGTGTCCCCAGAGATGCTGGTGCTCTCTTCCCAAGTTTGTTAGTAGTTAGGCATCAGTTTTCCAGGAACAGCCGGCCTCCAGGAAGGCAGGAGCACCTCCAGCTCCAGGCAACAGACATGCTCGGCCAGACACTTCTGGGCAGCTCAGCCCAGCCCAGCTGCTGTTTTCATAGTCCCTATTCTGCCCTTAATTACGAGTTTAAGTGATGGCTAATAAAGACGATACTAAACAAATAAATTGAGCTGCTGCTCTAATTAGGTGGCTTTTGCTGCATGCAATGAGCCAGACCTGTCTGTGTCAGGGTTCGGGAGAAGCCGATGGGGCTCCACTAGGGATTAATTTGAATTGAATGTGAGTTGCTCCAAGCAGGAAAACACAGCACTGGCCATCCTGCTTCCTGCTCTGCCAGCCAAGGAACGCTGGTCCGTTGCTCTGGCAGTCGTGCCGGGCAGGCGCAGTCACTCGCACACCTTTCCTGCGGCCGCCCCTGCCCTTGCAGTGAGCATGTCAATGTGAGACCTTCCCTGGCTCACGGGAGGGAAGCTCAAAGCTGTTGGGAGGCCGTGATCATTTTCTTCACTAGGTAATAATACAAAATATCGCAAAGCACCTCAGTCCTGCTGCTGCTTTCTAATCCCCCCCGTTCTGCAGGGACAAGGAACTGCTTCTCCTGGACGCAGGGTTATTTGCTAGGTGGAAGGAGCTGACATTCCCTTTGGCAAATTGTGGCCAAAGGGTTTTGAAGGCACCCATTTCATTTCACAATAGGGGTAACGTGAAGGATGCTTACGTGGTGAGAGTCTAGGCTGTGACTCTAATATGGATACACAGCTTTAATTCCAGGAGCCCAAATTCCTGAAGCACCGCTCACACTCCGGAGCATGTTCTGCCTAGCCGTCTGTGCAGGTACATCTCCAAACTTTGGCACACTCTGTGCATAAGTGTGTGTTTTTGCCTGAGAAATACCTCATGTCTGGGAAATGTGGAGGCTCTTTCTGCCGCCTCCACTGGACTTTCCAGGAAGAGTATGGTCTAACCCATCGAGGAGCACCACATCTTCTGCGGCCACAGCTGGTATTTTAAAAATCCAGTTGCCTCAGAGAAGAGCGAGTACGTGGGCCTCAAGCAGGACTCCAACTGAGACCAGGCACGATGTCTTGTGACAGCACGTCCCAGCATAGCTAAAAATGGCATCAGCAGCCAGCCAGCACCCGCTCCCTTCTCCCGCTTCATGCAGGTACAACGCGCCCCAGCTAGTGCTCAACATGAGCCCCGTATGAGGCACTCGTCCTCCATACGGGATCGCTTAACATGCTGTCTGCTGGAGCTAACACTAGCAGGACAGAGAGGAGAGTGGAGTTGTTCTCGCATCCCGTGAGGTGCTGGGAACCCGGTGCCGTGCAGCCGTGGATGGACCTTGAGGCCACCAGAGCAGTGCCCTCACTAGCATCGCACTCTTCAGGTCTCTCAAGGTTTTCTTAAAAGCAAGCAGCTTTATGGAGCATCCCCACGGCCAAGCAGAGGCCACAGCAGCACACGCCGCTTCTCCTTCCCGTGCAGACAAGGACACGCAGGTGCTGCCATTGCCAGAGCGAAACAGGAGCCCTGTGTTTTTATTCCTGCCCCTGCACATGTTGGACCTGGAGTTGCTATGAGATGTTCCAGCTTCAGAAAAGAGTCGCTTCTGGAAATTATAAGCAAAGGGGAGGGAGCTTTGGCATGGGGGATCCCTCGGGGGGAAGGATGGGCTTGTGGCCTAGCATGGCATGGGGAGTCAGCAGCTTGGGGCGCCTCGAGCCCTGGCTCTCTGGGCTTGCCTCGTTCCCGCTCAATCTTCCCATCCGACCCGCTGTGGCGACGGCACACGGCGGGGGCTGGGGGGAGGGCACCTCCTGTCCCTGCCAAGCGCTGCCCCAGGGCCTTGCCCTTGCCCTGCCCTGGGGGCTTTCCTCTCCCCGCTCCCCTTCTCAGGCCCATTTCCCTCTTTTTCCAGCCCTTTCCCCTTGCCTCTTCCTTGCCGCTTCCCTTTCCCCAGCCCCTTCCTCTCGGCCTTTTCCTGCCCTTCTCTTCCCTCCCCTTGCCTTCCATTCCCTCTGCTCTCCCTCCCCTCCCCCCATGTCCTTTTCCCTTTCCCTTTCATTTTCCCCATCTCTCCCTTTCCTGGCCCATTCCACCCCCTTCCCCTTCCCGCCGCCTGTGCAGGGGGAGCGCTCAGCGCAGTGTCCCCCGAGGGGCGTTTGCAGAGAGGGCAGCGTGGAGGAGGCCCGGGGCCGGCAGCTGAGGCGGCCGCGGGGGCCTGTGTTCCAGGGTAGGCATCCTGGGACGCACCAGCGCGCGGGGCTACCGCGCCGCGCTCTGCACCGAGCTGGGCCAGCCCCTGCAGCTGCGGGATGTCCCCTCGCCTCCCCTGCGGCCCCACCAGGTACGGGGGCTGCAGCAGGGAGAGCCCTGCGCTGTGGGGACCTGGGCAGCGTGTGCCCTGCGCTGCGGGGACCTGGGCCACGTGTCCCCCTGCACTGCAGGGACCTGGGCAGCGTGTGCCCTGCGCAGTGGGGACCTGGGCAGCATGTGCTCTGCGCTGTGGGTGTCCGGCGCTGTGGGTGACCTGGGCCACGCGTCTCCTGCGCTGCGAGTGCCCTGGGCAGCATGTGCCCTGCGCTGTGGGGACCTGGGCCACATGTCCCCAAGCAGCGTGTGCCCTGCACTGTGGGTGCCCTGCGCTGCAGGTGACCTGGGGCACAGCTGCCCTGCGCTGCTGCGGCCAGGGGTGCTCCCAGCAGCCGAGGGAGGACGTGCGGACAGGTGGGGTTGCGTTGCACATGGAGAGCAAGGCAGGGAGGAGGAAGGTTGAACCTGGATGCAAGGCTGCATCCCGTCCTGCTCTGCATGTCACCGCCGTGCCCTGCCAGCCATGCAATGCCACCGTGCCACAGCGGTGGCAGGTTCAGGTCACGTTTGCAGTGTCCTTGGAAGAGAAGAGCCAGCAGCTCCGCTCGTCTCTAGGAGGTTCTGGGGAGAGCGGCAGCAGGCCTAAAATCCAAAGGGTCTCCCATACCTGCGTCCCCAGGCAAGGAGACGAGATATACAGAAGCTTCTTGTTGTGATCAACACACTTTGAAAGAACAAATAGCCCTAAAGGAGGCGAAAACAAGACTATCCCTGCATGAGAGCTGGTCTCCAATGAGGGTTGTTTGTTTTCCGTCATCCCTCACTGGGAGAGGGAGAATCCACAGGGCCCCAGCACAGCCGGTGCCTGTCCCTAGTTTCCCCAGCTGAGACTGAGAGCTGTGGGTTAGAAAGCACCAAGATCTTTGGAAAGGGGACAGCACAGTGCTTAGTCCAGGGACTTGAGCGTTTATGTCTCTATTTAAAGCACTTCTGCTGTTGCTTGAATGGAAAGATTTATGTTTGTCTCCTTCTCTTCTTGCAGGTCCGCGTGGGTGTGCATTACTGTGGGTTAAATTTTGCAGATATTTTGGCCTGCCAGGGTTTGTATCAGGAAAAACATGCTCTTCCATTCACTCCTGGTGAGTAGGAGGTGGCTGATTTGTGCAGGAGGCATGGAGGGACAGACTGACTGCTGCAATAAATTCTGGTTGTGTTCAGAGCCCACTGGCAACCCAGAGAATAGCAGCATGTGCAAATAAAGGCCCCACTTTGTTTTGAGACCATCCTACAGGCAGGTGAGGCTTAGGGTACTCACACCAGAGCCTCCAGGCCATCTCATCTCCTTTGACCTGCACTGGGTGCGGAGTTGACTTTTGGCTCCCAGTGCGCTTAAATGCCATGGTGTGAAAACATCTCTTTTCCCTTGAAGTTGGTGGGTATTCGCAATGAAATGAAATCCCCAGCCGGTTAACCGAGCGGCTGCTGACTCTTGTGCTGATGCTGCCACCTTCTGCCCACCAAGCTCTTTGCTGCCAAAAGCATCCCCGCACCTGGCGCAAGGTCCCTCTAGGGGTGCAAGCCCAGCCACGGGTGCTTCGTCCCTAGAAAATACTGAGTATCTCCCTTCTTTCTTAGTGCTCCAGTGCTGTAGGGAATGGTGAGAGCTGCTTGCTCTGCAATGCAGGGCTGAGGGTTATGGAGGTGCCTGTTGCTGCGTAGTCTCTCCCCAAAGCAGGGGTTGTGTGGATGAGACCTTCCTCTGGAGGCCATCCGCAAGGGAGGCTGCTGGATGCATCAGGGAGGTGGGTACATTATCGACAGCAGCGGATGTGTGTCCTTGTTGCCCCTCAGGAATGGAGTTTTCAGGGACAGTCCTGGAGACAGGAGAAAATGTGAGGACCGTGAAGGAGGTAGGAAAACCAAAGAATTTGGGAATGGCCTCAGGCGACCTCATTGGTCGTTGTGGGTGGAGGTCATCTCTAATCCTTTGCATCCCAGTGGGAAAGCAAAGGAGAAGTGCTGAGCTCTGCTTGGGAGGGAGAGGGCACTGCCTATGGCCCCTGGCTCAAAAAACTGGGAGGAAATAAGTGCAGTTAATGCATTTAATGGGTGTAATGCATAATAATGGGTGTCATCTGCCACAACTTGAGCTGTCCACAGTTCTGTCTGAAAAAGCAAGAGAATCAAATGCTCAATTCCAAGATAGGAGCCAAGCTGCACAGCTAGTCTCCTGATACCCATCTGACAATGTTTTCTGGCAGGGATGCCAAGTCGTTGGTGTGACTGGCACAGCCGCGATGGCAGAGGAGTGTGTCGCTGACCAGAAGGTGAGGAATATGGTGTGAGCGTTTGCCCACACCGCAAAAACGTTTCTCTCTCTGTTCAGAGCTTGGGTTGCTGCTTTGTGCTCCTTTTGGATTACTTCAGACCTCCCTTTCTTTGGTTCTGTGGGCAGAACAGGAGGTGCCTGACAGAGTCTTGCCAGTAATAAAAAGAAGCTGTAAAAGAGGCCAATAAAGAAGCCGTGGGGAACAACCCTTTTTCCATGCTGAGTCCCTGAGGAGGTCTTGCCACGGGCTCGGTTCCCCTTGTTGCTCCTCGGCGCTTGCTGAGCTGCTCGTGTCTCCATGCAGATGCTGTGGCGGGTCCCCGAAGGGGTGTCCCACGAGGATGCCGCGGTGATGCCCATCACCTATGGCACAGCCACGGTGGTTCTCCAGCACCGGGCGCGCGTCCAGCTGGGGTAAGTGCCACCCGCAGCTGGGAGGGATGAAGTTAATTCCCTGAGAATCCTGCTTCCTCGGGGCTGGGAGGTGTCCCAGGTGGGCATAGCTTCTTCACTGTAGATGGGCTTGCTGTCCCTGTCACTGCATGCCACACACTTCTCTAATGATGGGGCACGAGGACAGCAGCTCTCCATTGTGGAGAAGCAGGGTTGGACCTTGGGCGACCTGCTGCACCTTGGCTAGAGGGGATTTTTTTTAACTCACTTGATTTTTCTGTAGCCCCTGTCAGCTGAAATGCTGCCTTCTCTGAAATAGGGAAGAGTCACTCAAGAAAGCCATAGAGATTAAGCAACTTCCTGACATCAGTACAGAAATCCACGGCATGCAGGAATCATTGCTACACCTTGGTTCATGCAGCCCTCCTCCCTGCCCAAGAGCGGAGCCAACTACGGCCTATCTGAAGGGTGCAGGAGTAACATTTTCTTTACAGTCTGCAGTAGATGTACTTCTGCTTGTAAAGTCCTTCAGCACATGCAGATGTTGCTTATCAGATCTTTTCACTTTGCAATGTCAAAGCCCTTGTGATGAGGCTGGTGTGAGCGAGAGGGCAAACCTCCTTCCGAGGAGCATCCCTCAAACCGCTGCGATGCCCAGTGCATCCCTGTGATGGAGGGAATTCCTGTGGCATTGAAAACGTGCTGTTGTCCTGTTCAGAAATCAATGATGTGCTTATCTCTTGTGCCACTGACACTTTATCCTGTCTCTCTCAGGGAAACCGTTCTGGTGACGGCAGGAGCTGGGGCTACAGGACTTGCACTGATTGATCTGGCTGTCAATGTTTTCAAGGCAAAGGTATTCTCCTTTCTAATAAACTATTTGTCCTCGGGTGCTCTCTATCATGTCACACGCTACCCTGCTTCAGGGCCCTCCCTCCTGTGGGGACACAGAGCTCCTCGCAGGTGGCAGCAGGGACAGCCTCTCCAGGCAAGCCAGTGCTCCTGCCCTCTGCTTTCTGGGCCCACTACCAGTGGCCGTGTGGACTCAGAGCAGGCCCTAGTGTCTCTGTGACTTAGTGGTCAAGGAGCGCATTGAAACCAGGTGTGTGCTGGGTCAGAGGTACAAGTGATTAATTGGCTTTCCTCTGTCATTTGCAATATCCCTCCTTTCCCCCCCACCTTCCTCCAGCTCCCCTTGAGCAGTGTGCTCAGTATTTCACCCATGTGTCATAGTTTTCCACAGAAGTTTAGATACTCAGGGTAGTTTTCAGCAGAAGTCTGCAGCCCCAGGTTTCATAGTCATTCAGGCACTTGTGAAAATTTTAACTTAGTTCTTTAAATGCACAGCTAAAAAACAAAACAAAACAAAAAACCCCCAGCATTTATGTATGTCAGGAGGAAGAAGAGCTGGCATTCTAGTTCCAACTTCTACCTTTGTACAAACAGAGGGAAACAGATTCCCGAGATTCTTTAGTTTAAGGTAAGACTTAAGGATACAACATCTGTACAAGGCAGCACACCAGGATGCTAAGCAAAATCCCAGAAACTTCTGTGCTGAGATACCTTCAGCCCAGCTTGCACTGAATCTTAACTGATTTGGAAGTTATTCCTGTCCCTGGTAGGGGACACCTCATCTTGGGCTGTGCCACCTGTCACCGCTGCCCGCAAAACCTTCCACAGCACCTACGGTGCCTTCAAGACTCCCGTGTGAGCAACAGGCTGCAACTCTCCCTGTGGCTTCTGATGGAAGAGAGTTTTCCTCCTCCGTCTCTAGCGTATGGCTTTGGGTGGCACAGCTCTGCTGGGCTGCTGCTGCCTTGCACGCAGGGTGGCTGCTGCTTCTGGAAAGCTGAAACAGGAGAGGTGTCATTTGTGTCTCATTTTCAGCCTGCAGAGGGTTTGTGGGGCCTTTTCTGAGACAAGTAACAAGTGCTAAAGCTTCTGACTCCCACAGATCACAATGGGGCATCTGAAACACTCTGCCCTCCTTTGAGCGGGGCTGCTTTTGTGCTGGATGTTGTGTTTTTCCATGGTTGCAGGTGATAGCAGCAGCTGGCAGTGATGCCAAATGTGAGCTGGCTCTGAAGAGAGGCGCGAGCCACAGCGTGAACTACAGCCGGAGCAACCTGAGGGATGAAGTGAAACGACTCACAGATGGCAGAGGGGCCAATGTGGCCATCGAGGCTGTTGGCGGGGACATCTTCAAGGCAGCCCTGCAAAGGTGTGCTGAAATAAGAGCCCTGCACCTTGCTGTAGCTTAGGGCAAAGCCATAGGAGCCCAGCTGATGCTGTTGGCACGTTTGAAGGTCCTTTTTCTGATCATGGAGGGCTGATTAGGTGTCAAGCATGGTGTCCCCTGGGATACTTCTTTGAAGTCCCTGTGTACCTCATCAGCTCTCAGGCAAAACTTGGGAATGCTGAAGAGGTGTGGATGATATAGGGCCTTGGCTTTGTGTGCATTCTTAGGGTTTAATTATGTTCTCTGAAGACTGATACTGAAGTATAGCTGTCCAAAGCAAAACTTTTCTGGGCACTAACTCATTTGAGCTTGGGAGAATGCTTAGCCTCAGCAGATCTTCATCATGCAAGTACCGCCTTGAAATGAGGATCTGAGACCTCTAATAAAGCTGATTTCTTTCTCTCCTCCTTGCAGTTTGGCTTGGGAGGGCAGGATTGTTGTGATGGGTTTTGCTGGAGGAAAAATCCCCTCGATTCCTGCTAACTTGCTGCTTCTGAAGAATGTGTCTGCCATGGGAGTGTATTGGACTCGGTACCAGGAGGAGGACTTCCCTGTCTTCTCTTCCACTATGTCTTCTGCTCTTCAGTATTGCCAGGAGGGAAAGATCCATCCTCACATTGGAGCAGTCTTCAAACTGGAAGAGGTAGGTGCTGGTGATGTCCTCATGCAACACAGGCTTCTCTAGTGGAGGCCCTTGGAATGAAGAGGCTCTTGGATCAGTTGCAAGTCTGCAGTGCTCTTCAGAGCCTGATCTTACGGGTTAAGGAGCCAGAGACATGAGTGTGTGTGGCCCATTCATATCCCACTAGTGTCAAGAAACAGGCAGAATGGAGCAGTGCTGGTCACTACTCAGATGCTTGCATAGCTTGAACACTCGCATGAGCTGTGCGGAGCTGGTTTCTCAGGATTATTTTTTATGAAGTTCCTTTTTGTGGGTAAAACTTTGTAAATACTCCAGTATCAAGTATGCATTTTTCATGATTGTTTACCCTTTAGCACATTGCAATTCTGGCTTTGCTGTACCAAAATCAGAGTTAATGACTCCCTACCTCAAACCCAAAGAAGGAAGATTAGAAAGGGTAAGGAAAATGGGATTTCTTGATTTTAATGTTTTTTTGTTTCCTAGAGAACTAGGACTCTGGAGGTTTCTGTACCATGGGCTAATTTCACACAAAATTTTACCCACAAAAAGGAACTTCATAAAAAGTAATCCTGAGAAGCCAGCTCCGCACAGGTCATGCCATTGCTCAAGCTATGCAAGCATCTGAATAGCGACCAGCACTGCTCTGTTCTGGCCGTGTTTCTTGACATATAAGTGTTGGATATTATTTTAGAAGTCAATTAGCTGGTTGTGATATGTCTTTACTTGCATTTTTCTCAGAGCCTCTGAAGGTGCTCAGAACACATTTTTCCTGATTTGATGGTATTTTAATTTTTAAATAACAGCTCAAATCATCAGAAATATTGACATAACATGCAGCAAATTCGGGGATGTATGGCAGTCAAATATGCAGGAGCTTTTCCAGTCCTGAGCTGTTTCAATCCTGTCACCAGAAATCCCAGACTCATACGTGAACTCTTGGCTCTTTGTTTATGTCAAACAAACTGTATTACAGTCTATTGTAAATCCACACAAGACTAAGTGCCTGAATGTATTTAAGTTTTTTTTTATTATTATTATTTTTGCTGGGTAACACTGCAAGCATCAGGAGTCTCTACAAAACAGAGTTCTCCCCCACGTTCTCCCTCTGCCCTTTCCTTCCCCTACAAGGCAGTTTCCCACTGTCTCTCACCTGGGGCTTTGTGTTTGCAGGTAAATGAAGCTTTTAACCACGTGCTCCAGCGCAAGTCCACAGGAAAGGTCATCATCTCCATGAAGTAAATCAGCACTGTCCGTGGGACTTGGCCTTCTGCTCTTTTTCTGCCATGTAGAGGAAACTCTCCAATCCACCTTCCCCCAACAGGAACAGGCAAAATGAATCAGGGACATATAAAGTGACAGTGTATTAACAAGCAGCTGTTTGTCAGCTGCACAAACAGCTGGGTGTGTTGACACGTGTGTGTGATCTGAGCATGTCCCGGTCGCGCGTGGAGCCTGTGGCTGCGGCCGAGCCACCCCGTGCCCCGCGCGGGCAGGGACAACTCCTGCGACTGCTGCTCACTCGTGGGGCAGAGGCTTTGCCTTTGCTCTGTGCGTTCAAGCAGCCACGGGCACCTGGTAGCACCGTATAGGATTTCTCACAGGACTGTGCATATACACAGCATGGTAACCCTGAGGATTCCTCAGTGCCCAGCTTACCCCAATTGTCCTTATAGCTATAGTTGCTTATATAGCTAGGAGCAGTATAATTTTGACCAAGCTGCCCTGCTTTTCAAAAGCTTGAATAAACTTGCACTGCCCTCAAAATCTGATCCAATAACACTTCTTGGTGACAAAAGTCACATATATATATCTCAGACATAAGCTGACTTCTTACAGCTTTTCTGGCTTTGTCAGTGGGAGTATATGGACTGCTTTTCTCTTATTGACAATAAGAACTCTAATATCCCATGCTGGCCATAGTTACTGCTCACAGAAGCAGAGGAAAAAAAAAATCCAGCTTCTTTTAATGCAGTTTGAGTAAGTCAACAAGCAATCGAGTCTAGCTGGGGCCCCACTGATTGCTGTTTGGAGAGCTGTTCTAGGAGACCAGAAAAGAGCAAGCACAAATCCTATAAGCAGCCTGAGAGAAAAGTGAGTTTTCAGATGTAGAACAAAATAAGGCATGGGTGGAAGGGCAAAGGCTCTTGTCATTGAGCCATCCTGTCCTGAGCAGCGAGCAGCAAGAATAGAGAGAGCTCCTGCGTCTTCCCCCGTGATGTTACCAGCATACCAGGTGTTGGTGCAAGGGACAGAAGCTCCTGACCTTGCACCAAGGCAGCTTGGTCCTAGGAGGGGCAGTTATAGTTACCTTTGTCCACATCACTGCAAACGGAGGAGACTGAAACTCTAGGAACAGGTAGGGTATGGTCTTTCAGGTTCATCAAGCCCAAGCTACAGTGGGCGGTAGAGATGCAATGCTCAAAGCTTTTCATGGGATAGTACTTACGTTTTTCTGTTGGGGGCTGCCGTTCCAGATGCCAACACTGCCCCAGGCCCCTTCAGCATCCCTGCAGATTACAAAGATTTTCCTCTGCTGCAATAAAACTCCTGATTTTTCAGCAATTGCTCCCATGCCTGCTGCTACACTGTGAAGAGCAGCTTCTGCCCAAAACATGCCTTGGTCTATGGGTTAAAAAAATGTTTTCCACACTTTAAAAGCCTTTTAAGTCCTTCCTGGCATACAAAACATTGGTATTTTTGAGCACACTTTACTGGTAACAGCAGAAAATGGACCATTTCAATGGAGAATTCGTTCAAATGAGCTGCAGACCACACTCATGCTGTAGGCAGCCTTTAGTTCATTTTAGCACAGCAGAGGCACTCTACAAATGTCTACTATTATGGTATTAGATTCCCATGCTGGAAGTGAAGAAAACCAAGTCTTAGTTCAAGAAGAACCAATAAATAACTGTTTCATTTTGCATGCTCAGGCTGTATCCAGAAAGCCACTAGTCTTCCATCAAACTTCTCAGGTCCTGTTTTGCATCTATCTCTCAGCTTTCCAAGCTTCAAACCCCATCTTCCCATGAATGGGACTGTTAAAATAGTTACTACTCCCAGCTTCTTCAGGTTACACTACAGGGAACTCTACAATTTCTTTATGCGCTCTATATACAGAAAGTCCAAGCAAAGTTGATTTTAGGTCTCTGTAGTATGTTACTTATTACCTCTTGTACTACAAGAAGTACTAAAGACCCCTTCCACCACCACTGCCTGTGCTGGCCCCTTAGTTACATCTGCTGCAGCCTTCCTTAATCTTCTTTTACTCAAGTAGAAAAGCCTTAAGGGAGGTTGGTAGCTTACAGTCTAGCTCTTCAGAATCACCAAAACCTTTTAAGGATTTTGACTTTTCACTCACAAATAGCTACAAAAGAGACCAAATAGCCTCTACCCTTTTGTAAGTTACAGCCCTGGATCATTTTTCAGGCTTTAGTCTTGCTGCTGCTCCTTAGGCTAGTGGACAAGCGGGTGCCCATGCAGGCCCCTCCTCCTTTGATAAGCCTGAAGCCAAACAAGCAGAGACACTCTTGCTCTCTCAACACTCCTCCTTTCTGCTCCCCCTCATTTTACAGGGCCGCTGAAGGCATCTGTAGCCTAAACATCGCCTCACAGCCTTACCTGGGCACTCCAGCCCACCCCTGCTATGGGCCAGGAGCCCATTTGGGCCCAGCTGGAGACCTTTAGCCAGGCTCTGCTGGGGCCAGCGATGGCCTCCAGTTCTGCCTAGCTCTAGTGATCAAGCCCCAAACCCTCTGCTAATTCTTTATGCATCCCTATAGCAATGCTCAGGGCTGGGCCTGCCCCACTGGAGGGATGCACTTGGGCCTATTGTGCTTCCTCCACAGCAAGAGCTGTGATGTGGGTCGTCTCCTGGCACTTGGGCTATGGAAAGAAGTTACCAGGTGGGCTCTTTGCCATGTGACTTTCTAGGTGTGGCTTTTTGGCCAGGAATTCTTTGAGAGCACAGGGCAATAAAAGGAAAAATGCTGCTAAGAAGTTGGGGGTATCTCTATCTCTAAGCCTCCCTTGGGGCAGGTTGAAGGATAAGCTGGGATCTGAAGCTGTGTTTTACAGGGGAACAGTTCAGGGGAGCTTATGAACTTGCTCTGCAGCCTGATCTGAGCACCCCATAGCAACACCACAGACCTCAGGTGCTATGGTAGGTTGGGCCTTGTATCTAGACTCCACTTAGTAGCCTTGAACCATGCTTATGGATAGCAACAAGCTCAGAAGTATCTGCTCCCTCTTGCTACTTGTCGTCCTCTGAGCAGCAGTGGTCACCCTTGGCATGGGGTCAGCATGGGGACCTGGGGACAGAGTAGAGTGTCCTGCCGCCCTGTGGTGTAGAGTGAAGGGTTGGGGGCCTATCCCTGGGGTGTTGCCTTTCCTGGGAACCATGAAAGACTTCCTCAGCTCTTCAAGGCGTCTGGAGTTTAATATATATAATCAGCAAAAATTGGAGTGGAATATCAACTGAGCGCAGCTTAGAAAACTCATTTTCTTTTTCCTTTCAAGCTGACAATAAGATTTTAAGGAAAACTTTGAATAATGGATGCACTTCTGAATAATGGATGTTTCACAGCTGAAGTCCCCTGACTTTTCTTTCTGTGCCTGAATGCGAAGCCTTTTAATTGTGCAGCACGTGGCATGGCGGGTGCAAGCTGCTCTGTCTCTCATGCTGCTGATTAGCTCCCATGTACGTTGGCATTAAAGATTCAGAGAGGGGTAAGGCTATCCCGGCTCTGAGCTGGATGCGATGCACGTTGGGTTGTATCGGCCAAAGAGCTGACCCAAGATGTTCTGCGTTTTTCCCTGTCTTTCTGCTTCGGCTGCCCATAATTCCCTTTTTTTGAGGGTTGCATCTTTCTGACTTCTGTTGTGGTGATGTTGCACCTGAAGAAACTAGATGTGACTGGTGCTCTGGGTGGTTTGAGTGGAGGTCACTTTGTGAAGCAAGGACACTGCTGCCCCCTCGCTTTAGGCTATGGAACAAGCCTTTAAGCAGGGCTGCACGGGGCCGTCCTGGGGCAGCGTGGCCGGGCGCTGGTGGCATGCGCGGCGCTGCTCGCCTCACACTGCGCTGTGCCAGGGCGGCAGCTGCAGTGTTGTGAGCGGCGTGCACGTCCGCAGAGCGTCCCTGCGGCACGCGGGTCAGCACGCAGGGCCTTTCCGCGTGCCCTCCCACTCTTACACCGCGCGCTGCAGCCTGGCCTTGCCTCTGGTGCGTCACCAAGTTAATTCAGCTATCATGAAATTTTAACTCTGCTGCAAAAAAAGAAAAAATAAAAAAAGGATAGACAAGCCACTGGAGAAAACATGATACATGGGTTGGGGTCAGCGAGTGCTTTTTGGTGCTGTATTTGTTTGTCCTCAGTTTCCTCAATTGCTGCTGTGGTAGCCAGCATTCTGACTGAAGGTCCCACCGAGCAAACGCTGCTGGGCCAGGTTCTGGTGTGGTGCCATCCTATGCGTCCTGGCTGGCCCAAGAGGGAGGCTCAGTGTCCTAAAAGTCAGAACATTGCAAGGTTGCCACTAGACCATGAAAATAGCCACGAGACCCTGTTTGGTGTGGTGCAAGGGGCCCCTTGGTTTCACTTTTACCAGGCTTTTCTTTCACTTGGACATTTTTGGTGGGCCTTGTTCCCATGCACCATGAGGGGCTCCTCTCAGATTTCTGCCTTTATAGTCTCATTCTCTCTTTCTCAGTTTTGCTGCTTCTTGCTTTAAAGGACAAGTGCAATTTAGTTCTATTTCACAAAATTTGACATGACTTGAGCCTGTGATTTACTGGCCTTGAAGGATATAGTCTACGTAACTGTGGCGGGAATAAGAGGCTCTTCATGGTAGAGGAGCCATAAATTGAGATTAAAAAAAAAAAAAGGGGAGCATTACTGTCCAACTTCACAAGGTAGCACACCGAGCAGGACATAGAGAGGCCATCTGTAACTGTCAGGGGTCCTTATTGTTGCCTGCTGTGCACGACCAAGCTCCCGATGAGGCCTGCAGACTCCACCAAGACAGCAGACAGCTGAGTGCCTGCAAAGACACAAGGTGGCAATCTTTCCAAAAGGACAGCACTGCTGAGCATCTCCGCCGCAGCATTTCCATGCCGTCGCTTCTCTCACTTCGGCGCTTGCTCCTGCGCTGCTCTGACTTGCTCCTGGGCAGTCAGTGACTAGTGGTGGCCAGCCCTGCTGTGGGGCTGGCTGCACTGTCCCTTCGAGGCAGAGCCTCATGTCCTTCCCCTTTTTATCTTTTTGCTACCTGCAGCACAAGGTGCAGCTGACTTTGCCTGTGGTGCTGCCTTGGGGGGGCAGTTTCTGCCGCTGTCCTCCCCTTCTGCCTCAGAAGCAATGCGAGTATCTTCTCCATACTTTCCAAAACACCTTGAGGGACATTGCACATTGCAAGGAGCTTCTTAGCATCCCCGGCCAAGAGTAACAACTTCACCTGCAGTGCAAATGGAAGAAGGAAGGCCGTCAAATATTTGGGGCTTGCTTTGTAATAGGACCTGGTGGAAGGCTGGAGTTACCTTTATGAGCAGGCAGCCTGGGAATGGGCCAGGCTTCGTGCAAGTGAGCTCTGATGTCTGCAAACAAGAGCTTTCTCCAGCTCTGCTTCTCCATTTGATATGGTGCTAAAGAGGGGATGCCTTTTCCCTAGGTCACTGAAAACTTCTAGAAGACAATTACTGTTTTTGCCTTTAGGTGCAAAAAATTATTTTTCCTCCAGACCTTTCAATTCCTGTGCCATGTCACAATGTCAAAGACCTCTCCACAAAGCGTATACATTATATTTGCAAGGGGCTAAAGCTAAGGAAGGGGTGGAAAACGAGCTTTTCATTTCCCTGATGCCGTTAAAAGAGCTCTATCTCAGAGCTATGAAAAAGAACTCAGGCTCCTAGAAACCACTTGAGGTCCTCGAGCTGCCTGGCTTTCCCTGCTGGGCTGCTGAGTCGTCCAAGGCGGTTTTGCTAGTCAGGGGCACGGAAGCGGCAGCTGAGTGCTCGGCGCTCAGCAAACAGCCCGAGGGCATGAAGAAAAATGTTTTCCACCTAATCTTGTTACTGTGACAACAGCAAGAAACCCTTTAAAGAAAAAAAAAAGTGTTCTTTAAAGAGATTGCCTCTTTAGCTTTGTCTAAAAAATGTTACCAGGGTTGTGCTGTCTGCCTTAAAATTGTCTTGCAAGCCTGTTGGCTCTCCTATGGCCCAGATCTCTTTCAGGAAATATATGTCTCCTTTCCAAAAGGAGATTTATTGATTAGGAAAAGAAAAAAGTAGCGTCCCCAGGGCCTCTGTGGCTCCTTTCTCCTTCTCCTCGGAGGCCTGTCCTGTCCGTAGTCGATACTTTCCTTTGTTCGCGGCCTCACAAAGTTTTGAGCAGAAGCTGTGAAACTGATAGGAGCTTCATTTCACTCTGCTGATGTGGCTGCTCAGCATGGAGATGACGCTCCCCTGGTCTGCATTTGTTCCATATTCAGTCGTATGACCTGAGTGCTAAAGATGCATATATCTATTTACCTGAAACCTTGAAATCTGCAGTGGCTGAAAGCTTATTTCTTAGAGTCATTGGGGAAAAACTAATTACTGTCCCAGTGGGGTGGAAGTTGCAAGCTCAAAGTATAATGTGTAATTTTCCAGCGTTGGTAAAATAGGGCTTTTTGGCAAGGTAGGTGGGCTCACATCATGGCATGTCCGGAAGCCAGAGTCTCACGGCAGCCCAGATTTGCGGCATGAGTTGGCCATGTCGTTAAGCTGTGGTGCAGCGGAGTCTTCCTCCAAGGTCAGACCAGACTTCCCTGGGAGCTGGCAGGGTGTCACTACCTCGGAGGTGGCTCGTGTGGCTCCTGTAGAGGTGCAAAGGGCCACTGGCCGCCTCCTGCACAGAGCTGGGCCTGGCAGCAGCCCGGGAGAGGGACCCTGTGTGCCAGGAGGGACCATGGGGGCCCTGTCGGGGTTCACATCAACCCTGCTGCTTCTCTGGCAATCCCTTGTGCAGGAAGAGGGGCTGGGGCAGGAACAGCTCACATTGCGGTGATGGGAACGGGGCTAGGAGCTGCAGCTGAGGATCCCTGCTTCATAGAATCATAGAAGGCCTAAGGTTGGAAGGGACCTCTAGAGGTCATCTAGTCCAACCCCCCTGCACACGCAGGGTCACCTAGAGCACATGGCACAGGACTCCATGCTGCAAGAGTAACAGGAAAAACCTCCGCTTCATCTGAACACCGACACTTGTTGGCACATCTGTCTAGGGAGTGGAGAGAGCAGGAAAGCCAGAGCTGGTCGCGCTCGTTCTCAGCAAAAGGTGCCTTTGCCCGTGGGTCTGTCTTGCTCTTTGCCCGGAGCTTTGAAGCCCGTGCGCCGCGACGGCGGCAGCCTTGCTGGAGGAGCGGGCCGCCCTTTGTCCCGCGCCATCGGCCCCCGTGGCAGGAGGACTTTGGCCACGGGAGCGGCGGCTGGACAGCAGCAGGGGCCTCTCCTGAGAAGGTGCGTGGCCAAAAAGGGGTGTCGGGCTCCTAAAATTGTGGTGGCTGTCAGTGGAACCAGCCTCGTTTGCACCAGCTGCTGAGGAGAGTGCTTGGCCCTGGCTGCATGTAGGAGAGCAGAGACGCAGGTGCCACCGTCAAGAAACAACTCGGGTTTAGAACAACCGGCCCCAGCAGCTCCGGGTTCCCCCTCGGCCTCCAGGCTCATAGCTTGTGCGGACCCTGCTCTGCTTCTCCCTGCCTTGGACCTCCTTGGGAGCAGCGCTCTTGGTGCTGCCCTGCAGCGCTCCCTTCGCCCTGCGTAAAACGGGATGGCTTTGCCGCCTGGTTTGGAGGCCGCTTAGGGCTGCTGATCAAACCCACTGTGATCTCCCGACAGGGTGTGAACAGCACAGCGCTGCCTGGGAGTCACAACACGCTGCGCCCCCAACCCGCCGAGCCAACCCTGGCGGCGCGCAGGGCCCGATGCCGCGGAGCAGCGTCACGGCACCGGCCGCCCGCAGCGCGATGGTGACCGGCACAGACCTGTTCCCGGGGCCGAGCATTATGAAGGCACCTACTCCAGCAGGCCGCTCTCCAGGTAGGATCTGCCTAGCGCTGGGCAAGGCTCGCGCTGACCTCTGCGTCCCTCCTTGTCACCTCGTGGTGACATCTGGGGCAGGGACAGCTACAGGCTCCGGAAGGCGATACCTGCTCACTGTTTGGTTACTGCGCAGCTGAACATCCCTGTCCCAAGGTGTATTTTTCCTGAAGTTTCATTAGAGATTTTTTTTTGGTAGGTGTAAGGTGAACAATAAAAACATAAAACGGATGATATAGGAATCCAAAGAAGGTTGCAAGCTCAGCTGCTGAGACAGCGCAGGGGAGAAGGATAAAATGTGGGACCAAGGCTGTCTCTCACTAAGGAGAAAGCTCTGAATACTCCAGCAAATCTGGGTTGATTTGCCTGAGTTATTGTCCTCTGAGAGTTGTGAGGAGAAGTGCACGGATAACACAGGGTTTTCTGCTGAGCTTGTGAGTTGCTTGGCCAGGAAGGCTAGGCATTGTGCAGGACTAACTGAATTACTGTGTAAATTGTGAAGGGTTAAGGTGTATGTGTATGGGGTGGACAGCTTATGTGCTGGCTGGGCTCCAGCACAGGAGGACACTGGTGCTGAGGTTTGCAGCAGATACAGCGGTTTCCGAGGTTGGCAGGAAAGGTGCTTTTTGGAGGTCTCTCCTAAAGCATCCATGGAAACTGTTTCCTCTAAGCGCTTGATACTGGAGGTGGTTGAGGCATCTGAAATTGGATGGCTTCTGAAAATGCAGAGCACAACTCCTAGTGACGGAATGGGAGTGGCTCCAAATCTCCCACCTGCTCCTTGTGTTTGATGCTGGATCTGCTCCTGAGTCTGTGTCCTGTGTCCATTACCCCTTCTGCCTTCAAGGATTTCCATCTAACCAGCAAATCTCCCCTCTGATGTATTTCCAGACCTCATCCCTTGCCCTGGGGACCTTAGTTGTGCCCTGGGGTATGTGAATTGTGGCACTTGGAGGATCCAGACTGGGCCTTTCTGCTGGATATCTCTGCTCGTGAGATGTCCATCATGAATTTGACTCTGATGCAGTTTTCTTTCTTTCTTGACTACATATACTGTGTTTCAGGCAAGGATATGAAGACCCTCGCTGGAACTATGCAGCCCCCACCTATGGGAATGACTATGCTTATTGGAACTTCCAGGGGCAGCCCACAGCCTGGCAGAAGGAGAGAGGTATGGCCTCTCAGGGGTCGGACCAGCTCCAGCTGGTGGTAGGAGTCCTGTGTTAAGCACACCACCTCAGTGTTGTGTGACTGTCACCCCAGCTTGCTGCTTCCAACAGAAGAGAGGGATGTTGTTGCTCTGGGATGTGTTGTTCTACCTGTTGTGCTAGGAGGGCTTGCTAGGACCCAGCTCAAGGGGCTTTTCCCTGTCCAGGCTCCCAGGTCATGGATCATTCTCACAGTGCAGCCTTGCCTTGAGTTTCCACATGAAGTCACAAGCAGGAACTAGGTGCACCTAGGGAACACTCCATCTTCATCTTACTGGCTAAAAAAGTGGTTAATTCCTGCTTGTGGCCTGGACCCATTCATGTTGATCTCACTGATTAGAGATAAGGGGGTCTAATTTTTACCATGTTTATGGAATTCCTGGACTAAAGAAAGCGTGAAGAGAGAGGAAAGGATGTCCGTGCTGTCTGCCAACATGTACATGGCTTTATCGTACTTTTCTAACTCACCAGGCTAATTTGGAAGCAAATGGGGTGTGTGTGGCAAATTGTCTGACTCATTGCTCTTCTGTAACTTCATTAAGGCTTGTTGCTTGGGAGGAGCAAGACTAAATCCTCATTCTCTCTGTAGATTTGAGACAGGGAGAGCCTTATGGTACTAGTTACCGGGACCAACACTACTACCGGGGTTATCATCCTAACCTGGTAACGCCGTCCCCAGTGCAGGACAGGTAAGGGGCTGCAGTGGGAGGGCTGGACTACCTAGGAGGCAGTTTTGCCATCTCTCAGGTCACGATGGCTCTGCTGTCCCACGTGAGCAGTCTTGGAGATGCCCTGGGTGGAGGTGGCAGTGCAGGCTCCACTGCTGGGAGACATGGGGAAGAGCCACAGTGAAACCTGCAGCTGGTCCCAAGACCTTGGCCAGCTCCTTCCTTTTCTTCTCTTTGCAGATCGGAGCCTGGTGACTCGTTGCAGCAGAGCCGCCGCTCGGGCTCCGGGCAGGAACGGGGAGGGGATGACTCCTTGGGCAGCTCCTCTGGGGAGGGCAGCAGCCCTGCTCGAGAGGTAACCTCACATGGGGCAGGGTATGGTGGAGGTGGCACCCGGGTCTCTCAGAGGCTTTGTAATGGCCTGGGAACTGTTATCATGGGTTAGCGGTAGTTATAAGATCTCTGTCTGCTGGGCTGTCACTCCTCTAGACATCTGGCTGCGTCTCTGTCCTGCGCAGTGCCAAGCATTGCACAGAAAGCCGTCTCAAGGGCTTGCTTTTCTTCTCAAGTGATGTCTGCTTTTCTCTTCCCCTCCTGTGTCCTCTTTGCATAGTGATGACCTCTGTCCAAGGAAGGGAATGGCTGTCACGTGTTAGGAAGGCCTGTTTCTTCCTACTTGTGTCCCCATTGCTATGTTTTGCCAAAGAGCAGATGAAGAGATCAAATCGGAGCAGCTCTCAAGGTGTTTTTGCTCTTAGGCAATGCTTTAGGTGATTCCCATGTACAGGCTGTGTTGGGGACCCTGTGATAGGCCTAGAAAAGCTATTGGGCTGGATCGACAGCTAAGTATTTTGAGAGCTATTGGTGTGACCAGAGTATATGCTGAGTCTAAGATGCTGACGTGCTCGGAGTGCTCAGATGGGGCTAGCCTGTGCTGCGCGAGCCTGTTCAGCTCCTGCTGGGCAGCTGCCTCACTTGGCCCTGGCAGATGACTCATTTGGGCCTGTTTCCCTGAAATGGAGCATTTTCTCCCTTCTTCCTTGGCCTCCTGCTTTCCTCTGTCCGCACAGCCTCGTGCCTCCAGCAGGCCCAGCCTTCTCCTGCAGTACCGCGAGTCGGGGCTCAGCTCCAGCGGCTACGAGCTCAGCCAGTACATCCGCGACGACGCTGACCGCTACGAGCCAGGGGCCGGCGGGCCCTGGAGCCCGGTGCCAGCAGGTGAGATGAGGTGAGACGGGGCTGTAGCACAAACTGCTACAGTGAATGGCCAGTGTCTCCTGGCCTTGAGATTTATTATCTCACTGCCAACTGAAGCCATTCCAGAGCACAGGCCTTGGAGTGCAGGCGCCCTTTCTTTGACAAGAGTGGGTGGGTGCAAGGCATGTCTGAGGACCTGCCGTGCAGTTGGGTGGCTCTGCCTAGCCTGGTGGGTGCAGGGAGATGCCACACACTTGCCATCTGCTTTAGGGGACTGTCCTTGCGTGGACAGTCCCAGGCAGCCATGGGCTGTGCAGGGCCAGGGCAGGCTGGGACCTCGGCTGTGTCATTTGTAGCAGAGGTGGAGAGGGGCCAGGGCAAGAGGACTGACTGTGTCGTTCAGGGAGGGTGTCAGCATCCACGCCAGCTCCGCTGGCACCCCAGAAGTTCCTGTTGCCACACGTGCCGGTGTGCTTCGGAGCCGGAGGGCAGCTGGTGCTGGCGTGTCCGCACTTCCCTGCAGAGGGGCAGCTAGCTCTCGTGGAGCTGCACAGCTTGGAGGTATGCCACAGCCCCTGGCGTGACAGCCTCCCACCTCGCTAGGAGAGGCTCCTCTGCCTCAGGGAACGCACGCATGCGTTCCTCCTGGCCTGACTGCTGTGCCAGTCCAGCTGCTGAGTCTGCTCTTGCTTTTCAGGCGATCCTTCACAACACCAAAGAGCAAGAGGAGCTACAAGTCTTCCCGGGGCCTCTGGCTAGGTATATCTCCCTCATGGGACCCAGGGGAGGGTCCCTTCTGAGGTGCCTGCATTGAGGTCCAGGACAGCTGGCTGTGGGGAGCCAAGACATGAGCCCAGGACAGACCCGAGAGTCCCTGGGGTTCTGGGAGATAAGGGCATTGCAAAGGGTAGATATGGGTTCGTACCGGGAGCATGTCCTCTTTTCTGAGATGTAGGTTGTTTTGGAGTGTAGGGTATTTGTGTGTGTGTGCACAAAGGATATATTGTACCAGTACAATTATACCAATACAATATATTGGTTATACCAGTAAATCATATGAATAGCTTATGCTCATAATTGAAGCAGGAGTATGCAGAAGGAAAATTGCACTCAGCAAAAGATTTGAGCAAGCTCAGAAGTTGGGTAGAAATCTGAGGGCCTGGAGACTAGCAAGTCTGCCAAAGGGGACTTTGCCGGAGTCCAAATAATATGATGTGATGGAATCAAGATCAGTGTCTCCTTGGTTGCTCCCTGCTCCTCTTCCTTTTATCCCACAGCTTTCCAGTTGCATAAGTTGGCACTGCAGGATGCAGGACAGTTCTGTCCAGTCTGCACGAAACTAGAAGGATTTATGTGATCACAGATATGTCATTCTCCCTGTCACTGTCTCGGTTAAATAAAAGATACTGCCTTCATGCACATCTACTCTTACAGCCTAGGACAGTTACGGCTGTAACAGCTCTGCTGCCAAGCAGAACCAAGGTTCTTTGCAGATGGTTGAAAGAAAATATTATCAGGAGGGCAGAGAAAGATTGGCGTGTCATCTGCATCCTTAAAACATGGATATCTGCAAAAAGTTATAATAATGGTCAACCTTGTTAAGCATTTTTGAGCTGGGCGCCCCCAGTGTAGCGGGTAGTCATTGACATACATTCAACCACGTGGGCAGGGGCCATTGAAGATCCTCCCTCCTCCATCTCTTTGAATCTTTGGGGTGCTTGTCAGCAAACTTGGGAACCACTTGATTCTTCATGGTGTCCAAGCTTACATTTGCTTAGGTTTCTTCTGATCCTTTTCTTTGATGATGAAGGGAAGATCTGCACAAGGTGGATGTGATGACGTTTTGCCAGCACAAGATAGCCACAAGATGTGATCTCTCAACACAGAGGGGCAGAGATTCAGCTCTTCTCTGGAAACTGCTGGTCCTCCTCTGCCGGCAGAATGGGGTAGGTGTCCAGTGGAAGGGGCTTTTAATCTTTGGAGTCAGGTCAGCTATATGCTACTTCTGCACCTCTTGAGACAGTTGCTATTTTGGGGCAGTGCATCTTAAATTTATCCCATTGCCACAGTGCCATCAACCACTTTGATACTGCCCAGAGCCCCTGAGGAAGATGTGCCCTTGTGTTGCTTTCTTCCTTGTGAAATACCAACATTCCAGTGGAAGAGCAGCTCTGAAGGGGACTGGTACCATCTTCATTTTAGAGCAAGCACTTATGCCTAAAAGGAGATTAAGAGATTAATCCAATGAAACCTACCCGATCTAATCAGTGGCCTCTTGTCAGAAGTGGGTGGGGATATTCAGTCTAGGTGGTCCTGCAAGGTCATGCTGGTTGTGTTGACTCCTTTGCCCTCAGAGCCTGCGTGCTGGGGACTGAGGCTAGTCTTGCTGGGGACACCTGCTAGGACAAGGATAAGAGCTTGCAATCTCCCTACCCAGAGGCAGTTTGAGCAAGAGTGAGTGGGTGCTACTGCTGATGACAGATGTCATCACCTCAGGATGGGTGCTGGACTAGAAATGCTTTCAGTCACTGCTCAAAGGACAGTCCCCATGTGCCTTGTGCCTCCCCTTCCCTGTTGCAGTCCATGGTGGGCTCAGACACAGCTGAGCTTTTGATGCAAGACTGCAAGCGCCTGGAGAAGTATAAGAGGCAAAACCCTGTGGCTACTGCGACCAACTCGTCGGACGATGAGTGGCGGGCACACGGGCTGGGGACAGTGGACCTCCTTACAGGGGAGGTCCCTCCCGTTGTGGAGACACTGGCACAGACAGTTGAGAAGTTCACCAAACTCCTCTACTATGGCAGAAAGAAAGTAAGTGGTGAGGGGGGATCTGAAACATAGGGATGCCTCTTTCTAAGCCCCTTTGGCCTCGTCAGCAAGGTTTTAAAGGGAAGTCAAGAAATGCCTTGTTTGTGGAGTGACTCAATGATGAGTTTGTAGAACATGGTTTAAAGTGTAAGTTACCCACTTTTGGGCACTGTGATGGGACCCAAGTGATGCACTGCTGTTGGTTTTTTGTTTTGTTTCTTTTTTTTTTTGGTTGGTTGGTTTTGAGTGGTTTGGGTAAACCTGGTATAATCACCAGGGCTTATATAAGTCCACGGCCTGCAGAGGGAATAAGCAGAGACCCCAGAAAATCAGTTCATTCCTCATATGGTCCAGCCATGCTGTTGGCTAGAGGTGTCCCAGGGAAACCTTTCTTAGAAAGGGACACTGCAGCAGAAAGGCTACAGAGACAGTCTGAGCTGAATGAGCAGATGTTCCGCCCACAGCAGAGGGCAGGGGAGTGGAGATAGCACAAATGCCTTTTATTTCTCATATTGGCTGCAGGAAGCTCTGGACTGGGCCATGAGAAACCAGCTGTGGGGCCATGCCCTCTTCCTCTCCAGCAAGATGGACCCTCGGACCTACAGCTGGGTGCTCGGCGGGTAAGCTGGAGAGGGAAAAGCAAGGTGTGATGCCTGGGAACCCTCTCTGTGCCTCATGTTGCTGAGCACATAGCCTTTCAGATGCCGTCACCCTGGTGCACTCCTGCAGCAATTTCCATCAGACTCTTTCAGTCTGATGTTATTTTTCCTACTGGCCGGAATGGGGAGGGATAAGCTGTATGGATGGGTCCAAATTGTTAAATTGTTCAGGCTTCCTGCTAGGCAGGAAGAAAGGAGGCGAAAGGAAAGCTGTTGTCTGGAGACGTGGTGTGGATTTGTGATCCTCTGCTTCGCTCTAGCTGCAGAGATCAATAAGATCAGCAAAACCTGCCGTTGGGGCAGTGGTGCAGCCCAGGTAGCCCAGGCTGGACCGCAGCACCTCAGTTGGCAAAATGATTCCCACTGGACTGCCCTTGTGGACAATTTCTTTGGGCTGAACTGGGTTGATTCTTTCTGGGGGAATTAAGCAGAAGCTGTCTTGTAAACCAATATCCTTTTAAGGTGGTTACCTAACATTGTCCTTTTGCTCTCTCTGGAGGTGACAGATCACCAGCCTTTTGGCGTTTGTCTTTCCTTTCTGCCTTGGCTACACTATTGAGTTAAAACCCCAGCAGCTGGCATT